AAACTCAAAAGCTTTCCACAGTAAGGGAAACCTTCAACAAAACAAAAAGACAACCTACTGAATACATGAAGATATTCACCAATGACACATTCCATAAGGAGTTAATATCTAAAATATATAAAGAATTCATATAACTCAACACCAGAAAAACAAACCCAATTAAAAAGTGGGTGGGAGACACGAGCAGACGCTTCTCCAAAGACATCCAGATGGCCAACAGACATATGCAGTGCTGCTCAACATCACTAATCTTTAGCAAAATGTCAGTCAAAAACACAAGATACCATCTCACGCCTGTCACAATGGCTATCGTTAATATATCCAAAAGCAGCATATATTGGCAAGGATGTGGAGAAAAGTGCACTGTTAGTGGGAATGGAGACTGGTGTAACCACTATGGAAAACACATATAGAGGTTTCTCCAAAAAATTAAAAATGGAATTGCCTTATGCAGAAATTCCACTTCTGGGAATATATCCAAAAAACCCCAAAACACTAAGTTGTAAGAATAAATGTACTCCCATGTTTACTGCAGCACTATTGACAATAGCTGAGATATGGAAGCAACCCAAGTGCCTATTAAAAGATGAGTAGATAAAAAAGCTGTGGCACTTATACACAATGGAATACTACACAGGCATAAAAAAGAATGAAATCTTACCTTTTGTGACAGCATAGATAGACCTAGAGGGTATTATGCTAGTGAAATAAGTCAGACAGAGAAAGACAAATACCATCTGATTTCACTTACATATGGAATATAAAATAAACAAAATAGATGCAGACTCATAGAGGGAATAAACTGATGGTGTCCAAAGAGAAGGAAATTGGCAGGGGATGGGTGGGGGTGGAAAAAGATAAAGGGATTGAGAAGTACGAATTGTAGTTTTGAAAGAGTCACAGGGATGTAAATTACAGCACAGGAAATATAGTCAATAATATCGTAATAACTATATATGGGGCCAGGTGGGTACTTGAAATATCAGATGGACCACTCTGTAAAGTACACGATTGTCTAACCATTATGCTGTACATCTGAAACTAATACAGAATATTAAATGTAAATTGTAATTGAAAAATTAATAAAAGTTAACAAACTGATGACCTGAACTAAAGTCTCTTTGAATTCTATATTCTGTGATTAATTCCTAGTTCTCAGCTATATTCCAGAAAAGTAAGAAAATTACCTTATTGAGGGATTACTAAAAATGAGATTACTGTACGTGATTTTAAAAGCCTTCTTTTTCTCAATAATGGGTATTTTAGGGTGGAGCAGATAACTGTTTCAGCTCTCCACTTTACCTGTGTCGGCACAGCCTACATTGTGCCTAGATTTTATCTTTCTCTGGGAAAAATTATTAAACTAAAGGCTCCTTTCTTTCAAAAATAAAAAGAATCTGACGTAAATCTTTCAAACCCATGAAGTTATGCATTTTAAATTTGTATTTGGAAAAATTGGCTATTATATATCAACAACTAAATTTTAAATGAACACAGTGTGCTATCTTCTCCAAAAGTAATCATGTGACTTCTCCAAAAGTGAGAGCAATTTGCTACATATTGGAATATTAAAAAATGGGAAATAATATATGGAAGGGTCTATACACTTGAATCTTTTAAATACCTTATCTTGAAACTTATAGATCATTTTATCATTCACATCTATATTAATAACAGTAATAGTTGATCAACTGTAATAGTAGATCTACAGGAAATGTTTTTATTTATTTATTTTTTCATTTAAAAAAATATATATTTTTTTTAATTTTTCAAATACATTTGTCTCCATTTATGGGCCAACATTTCCCCCTGCCCCACTCAGTCCAACATCCCCCACTGAACTCTTCACCACCTTGGCTTCATCCAGATATCTTTCACACCTGTTACAACCCTTCCTTCCCTCCCTCCTGTCCCTGTATGTTTCTTCTTTCTTTCAATGTTGCTGATAATATTTTCCTTGCCTGCTAGTTTTGCTGATTAGGTTCCAAATTTAGGTGAGATCATATGATATTTTTCTTTTTTTTTTATTCTTTTAATTTATTTTTTTCAAATACATTTGTCTCTGCCTACCCCCCACCACTTTCCCTTGCCCCCTCCCTCCTTCCCTCCATCAGCTCTTCCCCTTTGGTTTTGTCCATGAGTCCTTGCTATATGTTCCTTGACTTTCCCCTTCCCTTCCTTTTCCCCGCCCCCCCCCTCCTTTCCTCTTGTCTCTGTTGATTTCTTTTCCTTTCAGTGTTGCTGGTCTTATTTTCCTTGCATCTTTGTATTGTTGGTTAGGTTCCACTTATAAGCCAGGGGGGCGAAAGGAAATGTTTTTAAAAGAAGATTTTGAATTCTTAATCTTACCTACCTTAAAAAATTAACACACATCTAATAACCATGTCATCTTTCTTACTGTCTTAGTTATACTAGTGGAATTCTTACCCATAAATAAACTAGAGATTCTATTTTCAATGTAGTTGTTCACTGGCTTGTCAGAAATAACATTCATCATTAGAGGTAATTCTAAAGGCCTATGATCTAGATTTTGTTGAGGCATGACTCAGAGGATAGCAGGCAGGGGTGCAGAAGGGGTCCATGTATGTGGTAGAGAGTCTACCCCATCACTCAGTGTGGATCTCAGCATGGCCTGTTTTCTGGGGAAAGTTGTTCATGTATTCTGTGAGTGAATCATATATTAAATCATATTATCATTATCACAGGAATTGAGACCTTCTGATAAAATATTTGTGAGTATTAGAAACATCAAGTTCTACTGCATTACATGTTTTTTTTTAGTCAGGTATTATTTACAAATTTATAAATAAAATGTAAAAAGATGATCACACAATATAGAAGTATCTCAAAATACTCTCATACTCTTTGCTTTTATAAAAACATTTTTTAATAAAAGGTAACATATTAATGGCAGAAAATTTAAGAAATACAAAACAGCAAACATAAAAATAAAATAAGCAATTTTAAATGCAAAATAACCAACTTCTAACAGAGAGTTGTGATTATATAGATCTCACTTTAAACTGCAAAGGGCTGACTGAATTCAGATTTTATTTCCCCATAGAATTAAATTCAACCCTTTTTTAAATAAACTGACAGGACTACTAAACTGTGATTTATTAGACACATAGTAAAACTTGTTGTTTTCAGCATCAAAAAGCACAAAATAGAATTAACCTTCAGATTAAATTTGAGATTCTTATAAATTATATTACCAAAACAGATGACTGTTTGGAAACTATACCATTAAGATTGTAAAGATAATAAAAACTTAGGCAAAAAAAAATCTAATAATCAAGTTTCCTTTAGGAAGACTAGATTAGAATTAATGTGAGAAGTTATTATTATTAATATGATTTATTCTACACAATGTCTTGATATTATCACCTATTTTTTTAATTTAAAATATTTTATAATTCTGAAAGAATATAGCTTCCATCTTCATTTTTATAATTTGAGATTTATGTTCCTTATGTAAATGTATTTACTGGCTTACTTTAAGAAAACCAAACTGGAGCATCTTTTTTATATACCTCTTTTTCACCTATTCACTATTAAAATTTTTTGTAACCTTTGGAAATGGGCTACCTTTTATTTTAAGCTTTTATTTTAATTACTTATAGAAAGTGACTCTGATCCTTGCATGTGGCAATTAATACATTCATTATTTTTTATATTAAACACTCAAAATGTTGATTTATTTATATTAAGAGCAGACAAAATAAACTTTAACACCAAAAGAATAAAAAGAAGAAAAAGGGGTCACGTTAAAATGATTAAAGTTTCAATTTATCAGGGATTCTTAATAAATTTTAATTTCTGGGGGCTTAAGAATACCATCTCAAAAACAAAGAAAATGTTTACAGATCTATAAAGCAAAATAGAGAAATCCACAATTTCAGAAGGAGATTTTAATATGCCACTCTGTTGGTAACAGATACAAATAAATTTTTAAAAATGTGCAAGGCTGTATAAGGTTGAAAGAACATGATTTATGAACAACCTAATTTTTAGAAAATTATAACTTACCAAACTTAAAGGGTCATATGACATTAAAAAACCTGAATAAGTAATTTTTTAAATGAGAAAAAAATAAATACCTGTAAAGAAAATTTTAAAGCTGAAGAGGGTCTACCAGAAAATTCTGCTAAACTTCCAGTAACAGTAATTCTTACACAAACTCATCGAAAACACAAAGAGGAGACGCTCTTTAACTCATTTTACGCATAGCTTTCATATCAAAACCCAACAAAGACAGTATGAAAAAAGAAATTATAAGCCATTCTCATTCATGAACAGGAGTATATTCAGTAAACATCCCAAATTCATTATGAAACTATATAGGAAAAGGGGTTCTGGGAACCACAGTACAAAGGTGAGGAAATGATTATTCTCTAAATGAGGATAATGGTTACCTTAGGGAAAGGGATAAGGTTATGATCTCATGAGAATATCTTAGAGTAGGGGTAAGGGAGAGTGGGAGATTGAGAGTTTATAATTATTGTATGTAGTTCTGTATATCATATATATTTCACAACAAAAAAAGAACAAAGCAACACTTAAAAATAACTTTGAGAATAGCCAATTTATGGAATTTATACATTCTATTAACATCTGGAGTTTGTACTGAAGAGCTAAAGGCTAAGGACATTATTTTAGCCTTTTCTTACAAATTCTTCTACTGACTTGTTTTGTTGCATATATGTTCTTTTTCTACTGAAAAAAAATCTAGTGGATCAGAGTTTACTATGACTGTAAATAAGTGTTTCAAAGTATATACTCAGTATTTTCAATCCATCTGGAAATAGGTATAAATTTGAGAATAGAGATTCTTTTCCAGTAACATAGGCCAAAATATCAGGCATTCTAAAATCGGTTGTATGCTTCTCATGGTTCAGCATGGCTGCTATCTAAATCACACCATATGTACAATTTCTAAAATTTCAAGCTTATTAACTAGAGAGCTGTTGGGAGAATAAATAATACATTAGTGTTATTACCTTTTAGCCGGTGGCTTAGAATCTGTTCCAAAATAGCTGCAAAATTGTTAAATTCAGGAGAAGAATCATCAATTGTCTCAAAGCAGGAACGATCAATCAGAGTCTTTACAGAAAACCTATGAAAAAAAGGAGATTATTGTTTTTAAGCAGAGTTGATTCATTCACGTAAGCAGGAAAAATGGCAGGAAAGCAATTTAGGGAAGTATTACAGAAATAGTTCACAAAATTATATATTTTGAAAACTCCCTTTATTCAAATTAACTCTGTAAATAGGAACTTTTACAGAAATACTGGGCTCTTCGCTTACATATTTAGTATCTTTTGACTACATTAGGACTTAGGAAGAGCACACTGTCCTCAAAGCAATTAAAATCAGAAATAAAAAATGATCTAAATTAACCCAAAACCAATGGGACACAGAGAAGGCAGACTTGAGGGGGAAGTTCATGGCAATACAGGTCTACCTAAAGAAGGTAGAAAAATTTCAAACAATCTAACTTAACATCTAAAAGAACTAGAGGAACAACAACAAATAAAATCCAGAGCAAGTAGAAGGAAGGAAATAATCAAGATCAGAGCAGAATTAAATGACACAGAGACTAAATAAACAATCCAAAGAATCAATGAATCCAGGAGCTGGTTCTTTGAAAAGATAACAAAATTGACAAACCTTTAACTAGACTCATCAAGAAAGAAAGAGAAAGGGTCCAAATAAATAAAATCAGATGAAAGAGAATTAACAAATCATACCACAGAAATACAAAGGATTGTAAGAAATTACTATGAACAACTATATGCCAAGAAACTGGACAACCTGGGTGAAATGGATAAACTTCTGGCAACATACAATCTCACAAAATTGAATCTGGAAGAAGCAGAAAGCCTAAACAGCCCAGTAACAACTAGCAAAACTGAAGCAGTAATCAAAAAACTTCCAGCACACAAAAACCCTGGACTGGATGTCTTCACAGGGGAATTTTACCAAACATTTAAAGACGAACACACACCTTTTCTTCTTAAAACATTCCAAATAATTAAGGAAGAAAGAAGACTCCCAAACTCTTTTTATGAGACCAGTATTATCCTAATTCCAAAACCAGGTAAAGACACAAGAAAGAAAGAAAATTATATGCCAATATCTCTGATGAACATGGATGCCAAAATCTTCAACAAAAGATTGGCAATCAGAAGCCAGCAATACATCAAACAGATCATACACTACGATCAAGTGGGATTTATCTTAGGGAGGGCAAGGATGGTATAACATTTACAAATCAATAAATGTAATACATCGCATAAAATGAAAGACAAAAATCACATGATCATATCAATAGATGCTGAAAAAGCATTTGGCAAAATCTACTACCCATATATGATAAAAACACTCAGCAAAGTGTGAATAGAGGGGGCATACCTCGATATAAAAAGGCCATATACAAAAGAAACCCTCTGTCAACATCATACTCAAGGAGCAAAGACTAAAAGTGTTTTCCCTTAAGATCACGAACAAGGCAAGGGTGCCCACTTTCACCACTTTTATTCAACATAGTACTGGAAGTTTAAGCCACAGTGATTAAACAAGAAAAAGAAATAAAAGGCGTCCAAATTGGAAAGGAGGAAGTAAAACTGTCATTATTTGCAGACAACATGATAGTGTACATAGAAAACCCTCTAGTCTCCACCAAAAAACTATTTGATCTAATAAATGCTGGATTGAATCCAGCAAAGTAGCAGGATACAAAGTCAACATTGGCATTTTTGTACACCAACAATTAACTATCAGAGACACTAGAAAAAATCCCATTTACTATAGCAACAAGAAAAATACAGTACCTGGAAATAAATTTAATCAAGGATGTAAAAGACCTGTGCTTAGAAAACTATGCAGCACTGAAGAAGGAAATTGAGGCAGATACAAATTAATGGAAGTATATACCATGTTCATGGATTGGAAGAATTAACATTATTAAAATGTCCATATTATCCAAAGCAATTTATAGATCAATGCAATTTCTTTTTAAAATACTAATGGCGTATTTCACAGATCTAGAACAAATATTCCAAAAATTTATACGGAACCAAAGAAAAGACCCTGAATAATCTCAGCAATTCTGAGAAAGAAGAACAAAGTTAGAGGGATCACAATACCTGGTACTATACTATAAGGCCACTGTAATCAAGACAATATGGTACTAGCATAAGAACAGACACATAGATCTTTGCAGCAGAACAGAGAGCCCAAGGAAAACCACCCATGTCTCTATGGTCAATTAATATTCAACAAAGGGGGCATGAGCATACAATGGAGTAGAAACAGTCTCTTCAATAAATGGTGTGGGGAGAACTGGACTGGTACATGCAAAAAAAAAGAAACTAGACCACCAACTTATTATACCTTATACCAGAAAAACTCAAAATGGATGAAGGACTTAAATAAAAGTTATGATACCATAAAAGTCCTAGAAGAAAACATAGGCAGCAAAATTTCAGATATCCCACAGAGTAATATTTTTGCTGGTATATCTCCTAGGACAAGGGAAATAAAGGAAAAAAATGAACAAATGAGACTACATCAAATTAAAATTTTCTGCACGGCTAAAGAGACCATCACCAAAATGAAAAGGGGACCAATTGTCCTGGAGAACATATTTGCCAATGACACATCAGGCAAGGGCTTAATCTCTAAAGTATATAAAGAGCTCATATGACTAAACATCAGGAAGACAAACAACCCAATTAAAAAATTGGCAAAGGGCCTGAACAGACACTTCTCCAAGGAGGACATATGGATGGCCCATAAACATGTGAAAAAATGCTCAATGTCACTAGCCATCAAAGAGATGCAAATTAAAACTACACTGAGATATCACCTCACACCTGTCAGAATGACTATCATTAACAAATCAACAAGTGCTGGTAAAGATGTGGAGAAAAGGGAACGCTTGTGCACTGCTGGTAGGAATGCAGACTGATGCAGCTACTGTGGAAAACAGTACAGAATTTCCTCAAAAAACTAAAAATGGAACTGCCTCAAGACCCGGTGATTCCACTGCTGGGAATACACCCTAAGAATCCTGAAATACCAATTCAAAAGAACCTATGCACCCCAATGTCCATAGCAGCACTATTTACAATAGCCAAGTACTGGAAACAGCCCAAGTGCTCATCAGTAGATGAGTGGATCAAAACACTGTGTTGCATTTACACAATGGAATAATACTCAGCCAAAAGAAAGAAGGAACTCCTACCTTTTGCAACAGCATGGATGGAACTGGAGACTATTATGCTAAGTGAAATAAGCCAGGTAGTAAAAGACAAACAATATGACCTCACTTATAACTGGAATCTAATGAACAAAATAAACTTACGAGAAAAATAGAACCAGAGACATGAAAACATGGAACAGACTGATAGCTGTAAGATAGGATGGGGGAGGGGAATAATGGTGGAAGGAAGGGGAAGACGCTAGTCAAAGAACATGTATGAATGATTCATGGACATGGACAATGGAGAGGGAACTGACTGTGGTCAAGAGAGGTGGGGGTGGGTGGAGGGGGCAAAAGGGAAAAAATTGGGAAAACTGTAATGGTATAAACAATAAAAAATGTAAAAAAATTTAAATTAAAAAAATCCAAACTTGACTGGGCCAAAAACAAGAATTACTAGTTATAGTTGCTCACAGGAACAACCTACCATTTATACCTAATTGCAGTGCAGTCCAATAACAATGATGTACATCAATAAATGTGTCAGATTAAAAAAAAAATGACCTAAACAATTAACTCTAAAATCTTCAAAAGGCATAGTACTGCTTGTAAGAAACTTGAGTGTGAGACTAAAATGCCTTTAAGAGTTTTGGATCACAAAATGTAATAAAATTGGATGTGAGTATTCGTGAAGTGTAGATCCAAAGTTTTTATGAGCTATAAATAGGAAACTTAAAAATCTGCAAAGACTGCTATATCCTGCCCTCTTATCAGAATGCCCTTTGTCTCTCTTTTTGACTGCCAAAAATCAACACATTTTCCAAGACTCAACTCAAATGCCATCTCTTCAATAAACGATTATCCTCCTACATAGTCCTAGCTCAAACTAGTATTTTGTTTGTATCTCCCCTCAGAGATACAATTTATCCTACTGCTGCCATCTATGTTATCTTTTCTTATTAAAATATAAATTCCCACAGGGTAAAAACATCTTCTGCATGTTTGTATCTCTCTCAGCACATAGATCAATACCTTAAGTGTTGTACCCAGTTGTACTTGTTGATTTATTTAAAAGCCCTATTTTAAAAGAAAGTGAAAGAAACATTTACATGCCAACACAAAAAAGTATGATTTTTAACATGTATACACTTATGTAACCACAATCAAAATCAAGATACAGGACAATTCTGTCTTCCCATGCTATCCCTTTATAGTCATACCCTTTAACGAGTGACAGATTAGCGCCTAAGTAAAAACAATCAAGGGAACAAAGAGAAAAGAGTAACTACAAGAGTTGTTAAATAACTATAATATAAACTATGAGGGAGATAAAGGCATACAAACTGTTTCTTGGGCCTTAGGATTATGGGTGATGCTACTTAATCAGGACATAAAATATCAAAGACAAGTATAAAGGGAAATATTAAAGAGATTTATTTATATGCCAATCCACTAGAAATTATATATATTGGAAATTAAACAAAAAAAATTATTTTTTTCCTTTTTTTAATTGTTGTTCAGCTACAGTTGTCCCCATTTTCCTTCCGTTGCTGTCCCTTGTCCTTTCCAACCCCAGCTCCCAAAGACAATCCCCTCTCCATTGTCCTTGTCCACGGGTCCTTCGTACATATTCCCTTCTTTCCCCCATTATCCCCTACCCACTCTCGCCTCTGGTCCCTGTCAGTTTGTTTTTTGTTTCCATTGATTAGGTTCCACTTATAGGTGAGATCATAGGGTATTTGTTGACCACCTTGTTTATTTCACTTAGCATAATGCTCTCCAGTTCCATCCATGCTGTCGTAAAGGGTAGGAGCGCCTTCCTTGTTTCTGCTGTGTAGTATTCCATAGTGTGAATGCACCACAGTTTTTTGATCCACTCATTTACTGATGAGCACTTGGCTGCTTCCAGC